CATATTTTCTTATAGTTGTTTTCTTTTAATGATTTTCACTAACTATTTACAACTATGATGTTATATTGTAGTGTCATAGACAAAGTGGGTCATATGAGTGTGGATACTACGTATTCGTGCCCATTTACAAGTGGATGGGAAACGGTAATATTTAGATTTAATGAATTTTGTTTTTCTCCATCATTTGGAATTCATATACACTAAATAATATCATGTGTCTTGTGCAGAGATTCAAGACTCCTACTCCACTTCCTGAGAAGACACTTACATTCCTAAGGAAGGCACTTGCAAAACATTTAATTAGATTATACAATAGTGCATAGTTATTAGGATTTAAAATACATTAACACATATGAGTTTATTTATAATTATTAGACTTTTTACATTATTGCTGCCATAGGTAATAACTCCTTCACCCCCCTTCCTTATTACTTCAGGCGTAGAGGAATCAAAGTAGAAACCTTAGACATATTACCTCGGTTGGAACCAAGGCCAAAAGTCCCCTACCTTTTTATCTCGCCAGTATATGCCTCGGTTCGAAAACCGAAGTGGATTGTCAAAAACAGCCATTGTCGTTTCCCTTCACTGCACTGGTGAGGCGTCGTTGACGACATGATGTTCACACTAGTGCAGTAAGAGGAAATGGCACCGGTTATTATTGCTTATAGGCACCGGTTCTACGACCGAGGCATATACGGACGAGGTAAAAAGGGGTAGGTTTTGTGCCTTGATTATGAACCGAGGCGTAAAGGGATAGGATTACGTCTCGAGTCATTGTAACCGATGCCATAAGGTTTTGGTTTTTTTTATTAATCCCCTGCTACACTCTCCCACCGTTTCGAAGAGTCCATCAAAGAGTCCCCATCACTGAAAAATTGAACAACAAAAATGTCTCTGGATCAAGAACAAAACCAAGAACAAGATTGACAGTGGAGGGTTTTATTTGAAAATGGTGTTTCCAATGTCTCTAGATCCAAAAAGAAGACCAAGAACAAGATCCAAAAACCCAGTACAACACGGCATGGTGGCAACAGAGACAACTCGGCATGGCAGTGCAACAAGAACCCAGGAAGACCACGCAACGATGGCGGCAATGCGGCGGCAACACTGTCTTCACCACGCGACGGCAAGGCAGCAGCGGGGAGGCAGCGGCGGTGACGTTGTGGACGCAGCAGGGAGGCAACGGCGGTGACATTGTCGAGCGGATTTGGAGCGAATCTGGAGCGGATATGGAGCGGATCTGGAGTGGATCTAGAGCGGCTTGGCGATCTAGAGCAGCGGATCTAGAGCGGCTTGGCGATCTGGAGCGGTGGATTTGGAGCGGCGGTGCCAAGATTGAAGCAGCGGCGGGCCACCAATGGCGTGACGGTGACGGGAGGAGGCACGATCAAGAACGCCAACCACAAGCGGCAGGCGCGAGCACTAGCACGACGACGAAGGCAAGACCACCGACAACACAATGACCGGCGCGGCGAGGCAAGGAGTGACAGAGGAAGAATGGGAGAGCACGATGATGAAGAAGTTGCGCAGAGGAATGAGAGAACTCGAGAGGAAAGAAGAAGCTGATGGGCGACGACGCAAATGAAACGTGTTAAGTTAGAAAATGAAAGCTACTACCTCGGTTACTAGAAAACCCGAGGTAATAGCATAATATGACACCGGTTAAAATCTACACCCGAAGTCGAAAGTGGAATCAACAACTTCGGTTCCCCCGAAGAACCGATGCCTTAGGCCTCCCTAGTAGTTGTCAGTTTTAAGGCGAAAAGAAGCCTAACTTTGCAGAGGGTCTGACATGCACATGTGTATAGGCATCAGTTTTGTAGCCAACCGAAGCAATAGCGCTTTTCAAAAAGCTGTCAGTCTAATTTGCCTGATTTACAATGCTATATAGGTCTCGGGTCTTCGACTAACCGAGGTAGTAACTGCATTCTGCTTCGGGTCATCCAGTAACCAAGGTATATAAGTTTGTACGCTTCGGTTTTTTCTTAACCGAAGCGTATTTGGCGCGTTAGAAACCACTTTTTCTACTAGTGTCACTTGGCGGTAATGGCTACGGTAGACAATGATAGTAGACGATGGTGCCACCGAAAATAGATGGCGTCGTCGCTAGCAACGACAGGTGAAGTAACAAAGACAATAAGAACTTTTTACTCAAAAGAATCTTAGGCTCTAAATACCATGTTGAATATAGTTAAAAGTATGTATAGGATTAATCTTCCTTTTTTGTTTAATATACATCACTCAAGAAATATTGCATTTATATACGGATATTTATATACGGATTATAATCCGTATGTAATTCAGATATTACATATGGATTTTATATACAGATTTTGAAAAATAAATTATATACGGATATTACATACAGATTTTTATCTACTGAATATCTATATATAAAATCCGTATATAATTTTAGCGCGTGATGGCGGGAAGATTTTCGAAGGATAAAATCAATATGTAGTTGTTGTAATCCATACATAACTAAAAACAAGCTTTATCTACTGATAATATATACGGTTTTGAAAAATCATTATTTAAAAGAAAAATCAAAGTTTCAGCCTCTTTCCTCGAACCCTCTTTCCTTAACCTTCTTCACTTTTCTCTCTTCTCTAAGCTTCTTCCCCATCTTTACTCCTCCTCATGCTTCTCCTTCAATTCGACGTGAACTTCTTGATCCCTCCTTGGAGCTTTTTCTTCGTTTTTATCAGTGCGTGCTTGTGGCTTTTCCCCTTCGTCTTGAACGCTATCTTCCTTTCAGGTTTACTCTCATCTTTCACATTTCGTCTTCCTCGAGCTTCCTCTTTCCACTCGAGAGCTCCTCATTCGCAAGCCATTTCTCTTCACACAATCTTCTTCTTCTTTCATATTTAGCTTTTCCATAGCCTTTGCAACCATAGAACGTTTGTTCTACCGATTCATTAGTCGATCTACATCTCTCGTTAGGACTCCAACCTCTTTTCATCATTTTCTTCATTTTCAACCGATTAAATCCTCTTTTCTATCGATTAAAAGCCTTTCCACCGATTGATTCTTCGATTAGCATCATTTACACCGATTAATCGATCCATTTTAGGTTTCCTTCGTCAACCTAGGGTTTTAGGGTTCTTCGCGTCGAATCCTCTCTGTTTTTGGAGTATTCCTGGATTCTCAGGGTTTGTTTTCGTTCTCCACTGATTCGACTCTTGGTCTCGAGTTCTCTTCCCAATTTACATCATTCCGCTGCGTTTCTTCACCGGAGGTGCCTCATTACAGTTTAAATCGCGCCTTCAGGCCTTCATACAATGACATTTGTATTACCGATGTTGCGTTTAGGGAAGATTCAGAGGGCTTTTAAGGTATTTTTTTTATGTGTTTTGTGATTGAGAATATTATTGAATGAGTCACAAACGCAAGACTATTTCTTGTTTTCTTGTATTCTAATTCTGAAATGCAAATGTTATGTATAGAGTGATGAGAATGTATAAAATGTGGATATTAACTATTTGTAAACTAATCCAACCTATAACAGTACCTAAAATGTGAAGAGAAACAAACTCTACGAATATGTTTGATGAAATTCGTAAGAAAAGCTTAAATGCACTCTAGGTTTTTGATGAAATGATTGTAAGAATGTTCATGGAGTTATGTAATGGGGAGAGATTGGTTTGCATCACTTTCTCCCAATTTCTGTTTTGAAGGCTACTGCTTCACCACGACAGGTATTGTTAGACTTTATAATGTATATTTGGAAATTTGATCTGAATCTTATCTATAGTCCAAAATTATTTATTTCAATCATTCTATTTTCAGATGAGATCAGCAGATGAAGGACAAACTACTTTCTATACATGTACCCGTTATGGTCATCAATCTCAGGAGAATTAGTTGTTTACTTTAAGGCTATTTTTGGAAGGAATGTACAGGAAAAATAGAATGATCTTTAAGGTTATTTTGTTTTGAGCACCTGACCCCAGTAAGATTGTTATCTGGAACTTGGTTATTAATTAATAAGCCATTTTACCTTAAATTTCGTTTCTATATCAGCTATAAATAATTAAGACTACCTGGAGAAATGACGTAGCAGTACAACCCAAGTAGGCTAGATTCAACATAAAAATTGGGTTGTCTACTCTGTCGAACATGAAAGTTTTTTGTGGCTTGTAATAAAAAAGTAGCTTTAGTGTGTAGCCTTACTTTATGAAATCAAATTGTGTAAAATATGAATTACCAAGAAAATTATCGTCTGATTTGGTTTCAAAAAGAGGAGAAAAACTGTGAATAATATATCATTCAAAGCAGAATTATATCTGTTAGCTTGTACATTTCCTACCTTTAGGTGATACTAAAAGTTCATATATTTGCAGGATGGTAAGACCTTACCCAATGGACCTGTTATTTCTCCTGACAGATTTTATTGAGAAGGTGAGACATTTTTAATGTGAAAGCAGTTATAATTGAATAGGTATTGCCATGCTCAAGTAATAAACTCTTGATCATCATGAATTTGAAATCAGGTTGTGTGTTTGTATTCTTATAATGCAAAGGATGCCATTTATCACTGTGTGGCCCAAAATTAGGTAGGGGTGATGTAATTCACATGAATATTTAAATGCTCAATCATAATCCTTGGCATATAGAGAGTCTTAATTTTTTTTTTACTTTAACTTGTTTGTATAGCTACTTGACAAGTTCCAAATTTAGTTTATGCATGAGTTAAAAATAAGAAGTTAGAGGAATTATGATAAAGGTTCTGCAAAGTAACATATGGATAAATTAATTTTAGTTTATGATAAAGGTTCTTCTTATATTTCTCTTTTAAAAAGAGCTTATAAAGAAGCTAATCCAAAGAGGCTCCTGGTACTCAATTAGTCACCAAAAAACAGATTTGATGAAATGAATTCTAAATAGATCAAAACAGTGCAAAAGTTGATTAGATGGGGAAAAAGGATTTTTGTCCACCCCTAGACATAACACATAATAAATCTATATTTTATTTGATTATCTTGGATCTTAAATTCTTTGTCTGGATCATTGTAACATCATTACTGTGAGAAAAGGGTCAAAACGAAATAAGTGAAGTTTTTTAACAAGTGAAATAAAGTACCTTTTCATTATATTTTAATTGTAGTCGAAGAAATATCTTCGTCTTTGGTAATTATAATTATAAAAAGGAAAAAAAATACAACTTTAACATAGGTGTCATTTTAGTGTGAATATCATGGGACATTACTGTCTCACATTCTTTATATCCATAAGATTAAAAAGTAAAGTGGTTCTACACTTTTCTATGTTTTCTTTAGTTTGATCCTAGAAATATTTTTTTAAATTCCCATTGCCTTATCATCATCCTAGGATTTCTAATTAAAGTTCCATGTTGATGTATTGATATACTGCAAATTTTATGAAGTGTAAGTATCCTTTTTCAAATTAGTTTTAGTTTAATTTCAATTGGAGGCATGTGTTTCATTGTAAATCTCAATATAAATTTTTTTATTATTTTGGAAAAATTTAATTGAAGTATGTCGTGTTTTATTTCTTCTAGCTTCATTGGACGCCTTGTACCCCATTCAGAATGTGCTGCCATCTTTTGTGGGTTATAGGTCTACAATCATTATGTCTCAATTTTAAAATTTAGCTACAGAAAATCCAGTAACAGACCAATTTTAATAGTACTTTTCTCTTTTCAGGATTGTAATTGAGATGCTTGAAGTGAAAATTAGAGAATTTGTGTGCAATTTCAACACTGTATTGGAAGAGATATCATTATCCAAACAAAATCTTTCCACGCCTCTTGATTGTATGAAAAATCGTAAATTTGATATTGTAAGTGTTCAATAATTCATTAATAGGTTTGAGTATATTTTGTTAAGTT